GGGATAGAGCTCACCAAAGTTTGCAAATGAAAATGACCTCAACCTACTTTAGAGGTCACAGAGGTCAACAACATTTTAATGGATTTGTTCTTGAGAACTAAAAGGAATGGATTCATAAGATTTGGCTGGTAGCTTTTTGGAATAGAGCTAACCAATTTGAGAAGGAAAATGACATTGACCTACTTACAAGATCACAGGGAAAAATATGTCAAGCAACTTCTGAAGAAGAATCAAAAAGCATAGAATCTTATAATAATATTTTGCTGGTAGTTTCAACAGATGGAGCCAACAAAGTTTGCGAGGGAAATATTTATAGTGCAATATAATATTTAATGAGAATATTTTGCTATGACTGCTTAAATATTCAGGAGAGCGATACAGGCCCTCTTGGGCCTCTTGTATATGATTACAGGTTACTACCAGGAGTTGGGCTGTATGAACCAGATACTGTCTCTATCCATGCAGATCAACTCCGACTTACACAACCTGTCGGACCATAAGTATATTGCCCACCAGCTGGCCATTCTTTATGTAAGTGTTTTGTAAGTTGTAAGAGCTTTCCTTGTTAAAACTATTTGAGGAATAAATAAATGTGATCCCCCGGCTTCACGAATTATTTTTTCACTAGACTTACATTATTAGCAATTATTTTAGATCCCACTGTTTAGGTATTATTTAGATATTATATATAATATAAATACTATACATATATAAATAATATAAATACAATATATAACCCAATTGTGTTGAGAGGTCTGTACAATTTAATCAAATAAACAAATTTATAAAAACTTGGTATAAACTGGTTTTTGGACACATTAAATACCTGCAGAAGTAAACTATGTTTATTTTCTTCAGCAATCGGTGACATCGTTGGATGCAGCCTGTATGGAGACCTATAAGAAGAGTATAGAAGATAATTTTAAAGTGGTGAAAGCCTCCCTGAATGAGGACGGAGACGGGACCAGACTGCTGAGTAACCAACACAGAGAATGGTTAGCATCAGTAGATTTAGGTTCATTGCATGTTGCAAAGTGCTTATAAAATTAATATGAAACTTCTCCTGAATTATATTAAAGAATTAAAGCCATTGTACTTTAATGAAAAACAACCATTGTTTCTGGGTATTAAACCCAAAACTAAGCTATTGTTTTATCAAAAATCGTTTTTTCGTATTCTACCTAAAACCAAACCATTACATTACAGTAAAACATGTTTAGTACGAACACTCCTATTTTGATTTCATGGGTGTAGCTAAATGATTCTGATTTTCCAGCTCATCTCCCTCTTACGTCTATGTAATCATATGATCATGGCGACTTCTATGAAATTATAGCGAATTATTGTCTATTAAGAAGCAAATCAGCGGTCCCCTCAGGTGAAATTCAGTGTTATTTCAATACTGTAGTACGAACCCAATTTCCTAAATTGGAAGTCACACTCCAGACTGCAGTGATTGTGACCAGGGTCACAAGAGACCCCCGAGGGGCACCTGTCAGCTACTTGCTTTTATATCAAAATTATACAACTACTGAACACAGTTATAGGTGTTTGGTTGTTTATCCAACAAAAATGTATATGCTTTGTGCGTGAAATAATAACACCACTGAGTACAGTGAATTATGTTTTCGGTGACATTCTAAGTGTTGAGTTGAGACTGAGGCTGCTGAGATCAAAGTCACCTTGGCGAATTTCGTTAATATCGACTGTGATGTTATTAACACAACAGATATGTCAAATATTGAGGTTGTGTAGGATGTACTCAATGTTTCTGACAGTGAGGAAGTGAAAGTTTAGGGAGAGGAGATTCAGACACAAGTGTTGCAAGGGCGAGTGCTAATATTAACGAGATACCTTGTTTTCTCGAGGCCGTGGTCGGTACAGGTGTAGCTTTATCGTTGTTTCAAGTTACAGCAAAAAGCGATCAGACTTCTTCAAACAAGCACTATGCTGTGAGCATCATGTGCATCTAAGACATGTTGAGATAAAGAAGAACACTCCCGATGATTTGTGTTCACGTTGATTTATATATATTTTCATATAGCAATGTTTTTTAAAAATAACAAAAATTTGCTGAACAAACTGATTAAGTAGGTCTCTTGGGATTGATTATAACCGTGTTTTACTGTATACTGAAAACAATAATTTTGTATTTTACCAAAGTCAAAACAATGGAATTATGCATTAAAACGTTTTGTTGAATAACTCTAAACCCAAACAATGGAATTATGCATTAAATCGTTTTGTTGAATAACTCTAAACCCAAACAATGGAATTATGCATTAAAACATATTGTTGATTAACACTAAAACCAAACAATGGAATTATGCATTAAAAAATTTTGTTGAATAACACTAAAACCAACCTGTGGTACAATGTACTATAACATAGATCTACCAGTTTGTTACATCAAAGGCCAAATTATTGTATGATAAAATTCTAATTGTAGTATAACTAACTCTAAAACCAAACAATGGAATTATGCATTAAATCGTTTTGTTGAATAACTCTAAAACCAAACAATGGAATTATGCATTAAACCGTTTTGTTGAATAACTCTAAAACCAAACAATGGAATTATGCATTAAAAAATTTTGTTGAATAACACTAAAACCAACCTGTGGTACAATGTACTATAACATAGATCTATCAGTTTGTTACATCAAAGGCCAAATTATTGTATGATAAAATTCTAATTGTAGTATAACTAACTCTAAAACCAAACAATGGAATTATGCATTAAACCGTTTTGTTGAATAACTCTAAACCCAAACAATGGAATTATGCATTAAATCGTTTTGTTGAATAACTCTAAACCCAAACAATGGAATTATGCATTAAAACGTTTTGTTGAATAACTCTAAAACCAAACAATGGAATTATGCATTAAAACGTTTTGTTGAATAACTCTAAACCCAAACAATGGAATTATGCATTAAACCGTTTTGTTGAATAACTCTAAACCCAAACAATGGAATTATGCATTAAATCGTTTTGTTGAATAACTCTAAAACCAAACAATGGAATTATGCATTAAATCGTTTTGTTGAATAACTCTAAAACCAAACAATGGAATTATGCATTAAAAAATTTTGTTGAATAACACTAAAACCAACCTGTGGTACAATGTACTATAACATAGATCTACCAGTTTGTTACATCAAAGGCCAAATTATTGTATGATAAAATTCTAATTGTAGTATAACTAACTCTAAAACCAAACAATGGAATTATGCATTAAATCGTTTTGTTGAATAACTCTAAACCCAAACAATGGAATTATGCATTAAAAAATTTTGTTGAATAACACTAAAACCAAAAAATGGAATTATGCATTAAAACGTTTTGTTGAATAACTCTAAAACCAAACAATGGAATTATGCATTAAAACATTTTGTTGAATAACACTAAAACCAAACTGTGGTACAATGTACTATAACATAGATCTACCAGTTTGTTACATCAAAGGCCAAATTATTGTATGATAAAATTCTAATTGTAGTATAACAAAAGTAATTTTGTCATTTCTTTTCTGTCAGGTTGATCAATTTGACATGCAGTATCGTGCAGATATTGACATCATTCCCAGCTGAACTCACCCAGGAGATGGTCCAGCCCAGTCTAGCCCTGTACCAGACGTGATTGATGCCAAGCCATACTCGTCGTGATCTACGCTGTGAAATACTTTATATGTGTATTGATTTTTTTAGGTTAATGATTTTTTTTAATAGAAAGTAATATGGCTAATTAGAAGTGGGTTGTTTTTTTTGAAACAAAATCTCATGTCTAGGATTCCTGTTATTGTCACATTTAGGATTCCTGTCATTGTCACAGTTAGGACTCATGTTATTGTCACATTCAGGATTCCTGTTATTGTCATTTCTAGGATTCCTGTTATTGTCATTTCTAGGATTCCTGTTATTGTCACATTTAGGATTCCTGTTTTGTCATATTTAGGATTCCTGTTATTGTCATATTTAGGATTGTTGTTATTGTCATATTTAGGATTGCTGTTATTGTCATACTTAGGATTCCTGTTTTGTCATAATTAGGATTCCTGTTATTGTCTCAGTCATGGACTCATGTTATTGTCATGTATAATACTCCTCTTATTGTCACAGTCAATGACTCCTGTTATTGTCACATTTAGGACTCATGTTATTGTAACATTTAGGACTCCAGTTATTGTCATGTCTAGGCTCCCTTTATAGTCATGTCTAGGACTTCTTTTAATTTCATGTCTTAGATAAATTTAAGTAGAGTGGAATCAACTTTTAAATCAATAGCCCAAACTTAAACTTCAACAGTGAATATCTGTAAAGCTTAAGCTCTGGTTTCCTAAAAACAAATGTGGTTTTTTTTGTTGAATTTCAGCCTATGAAACATTGTTGATTTTTTGTGTGTTTTTAAAACCTATTTTACATCATATCACAATTAACATTATCCTTGTTTAAGGAAGTCTCTTCCCCTCAATATATATAACCCTGATCGCTATGAAATTATGTCTCATGATTATGTTACCTAAAACATAACTTGTCTTTTTTTTTACCAAGGGTCAGTTATTTCAGTCTGAATTATCTCATAATTGAGGACATAGATCTCATTATCAAGGACCTTTATAAAACAAATACTCTGATGTTGTTTTGTTATCTTAATTTCCATCAACATCATGATAAAGTTGTAGTGCTATAGAGACATGATTATGTAGAAATGTCCAGTGTTTATTGTATAGAAAATTTGATTGTACAAAGTGCTAGGTCTCATTATTTACAGAATCCCAAGTTGTTACTGCAGAACCTCTCTAATCCACCACTACAATTTTCACTTTAGGCTTTGTAGCAAATTCTTAAAAACTTTGGATGATCGATTTTTTTTGCTCCTTCCTTGATGAAATTTGAAAAAAAACACTATTTTTTCTTTTAATATGAAAGAAATTGTCATAATATACAATCTTAGATCTGAACTACATCTTACATGATAATTTCATATCCTCAATATACACACAGCAATAACCCCACAATCAAAAGGTATACAAAAATGTCAATATCTGTACCATCATACCATGTTCTTTAATGTTGTAACCATGTCTAACAGCACAATTGACTCAATTTGTGACAGAAAAAGTAGTTTTCTCATTTGGGAGTCTCGTCACTGGTTCTGGTGACCTTCTGTACTAGCTAATTAACGTCATTTTTGTGCGAAGTGTTTCAAGCTTAATAACACAGTATTAAGAACAGAAGTTGAATTGGAGTTATTTTCTTTGTATTACAACCTAGAAACAGGAATTGCATATTTTTGAAATTGAAAATACTGGCTTAATATATTAACCCTTTACTAACAGAAAATATTAAACAAAAAACATTATCAGAAGAATTTAATTGAAAATTGTTACATTAAGGTAAGAATTGTCTCAAATATAACATTCAGTTTATATGTAGTGGAGAGGGTACCAGATGTTAGGATATTGAGGTTCTGTTAATGTTTTTGTTGTCACACCATTGTTTTTAAATGATTCAAGCTGAGTGGAATCTCTTTAAACTACATGACTTGTATATACAATCTCAATAAGATGATAATAAGGTCACATTGTGCACTCTAAAATATGCATGTCTGATGTAGTATTCTATAGATGTTAATTGTATCAGTATGCAATATTCAGCTAAATGATTTGTCAGAATTCTCAATTTATATATTACACTTCAAAAGTGAATCAATTTGAATTCCATTGAAACCAAAGTATGATGAATCTGAAATCCAGTAGGTGTTTTGAAGGTAGTTAGTTGCCTTGTGATTACATGTACTTATATTTGTCTTAGTTGCCGATAGGTGTTAACAAATAAGGATGTACAGCTGTATAGGTCTTGTATAAGTAAACTATACCATAGATGGTAGGAAAATGTTCACTACTAGTTCCTCAATAGTCTGTTTTAGACTAGTCAAGGGAGAAAGCACAAAGGCAACTATTACAAGGATCTATATAGATAACGTTTTCTAAAAGAGACCAGCAGATTGTGGAAATCAAGAAATCCTTCATTATAGATGGGCAGAATTGGGGCAATCACAATACACAGCCATATCGTATCACAATACAGAAATGAAATATGGCTGTATCATAATATTTATTAATAATTTAATCTTGCTTGTAACAAGCATTTCCATTGGCTGAAAAATTTATGTTATCATCCCATAACGTAAAAAGATGACGTCAACATTTGTAACGTCGCTTTTGATAGGTTGATACAGCGGCGCAATAATTTCTAAGAGAAAAGAGTCCATCAATAAAATTGGATTTCCACAGGGATTGTGTATAGTAGATTAAATTATAAGGATTAACTTGAATATATTTTTCATGTTATGGAGCTATAACCCATGGGCCTTAACGGTCACCTGAGTCCTACAGTATTTATTTTTGTTGTTGAAATATGTACCAATTTGAGTAAAAAATAGTTAAGTATAATGTTAACTTAACTTTGTCAGGACCATGAGCTGATCATTCCTAGACCGATTTTAAATAAGATCGGCCTATTAGAAATTGT